ATGGTTCCAGGTCACCTTTAATCTTCATCAGAGGTAACATGAACGCGCAGCGTTATATCCACGAAGTTCTAGAACCCCATCTTTTACCCTATCTTGACACCCTGGCAGATCCCACTTTCCAAGAAGATAATGCCCGACCACATGTTGCAAGAGTCACAATAGACTTCTTTCAACATAATGATGTCACATTGTTACCATGGCCACCAAGATCTCCCGACTTATCCCCAATTGAGCACGTGTGGGATATGATGGGTAGGAGATTGCTCAATTTGCAACGTCCTCCTCAGACTCTAGAAGCACTTCGAGAGGAGTTGGTGGTTGCCTGGAATGAGATACCACAGGAGGACATTGACCACCTGATCAGAAGCATGCCTAGGCGCGTTGGAGAATGCGTAGCACATCAGGGTGCATCCACACATTATTAAAGGTCAAAGGGCTTTAAAGCAGTGCAATCATTTTGAAATTTTTATCATTTACTTATTATGCTTCATTAAGTACTTATACAAAATTTTATTAAAATAAAACCATTTAAACTGGGTGTTCGGATTTATATGTCACTTAGTATATTATGCCCAAATCATTGAATTCCTGACACGGTTTTAGCGGCAATTTATAAGCGGTGTAAACAAAATGCGTTAGTACCACATTTATCCACATTAAGATACAGATTGTTACTTTGACACCATGTGTTAAGAGCATCTATATCATTTTGCAGTATGTGGCAGTCGCGGTTGGTAGAAATTTTACAAAATGTCTTTAAATCACTAGCATAAAGTAGACAGCTACTCTGCAGATCACTAACAACATCATCGATAAAAATTAGAAACAGTAGGGGACCAAGTGCAGACCCTTGTGGTATACCTGAAGAAGGTGTAAAGTCAATGAAAGTAAAACCTCTATATTCAACTCTCAAATATCTATCTGTCAGATTTGAATTAAAAAAGCAATTCCATGATCTAGTTTATCGAAGGCTTTCGAAAAATCTACATACTCAACATCTACTAGTCCTCCCTCATCAATAGTTTCCGAACAAAATTCTTTGAAACATGCTTAATTAGTCAAAGTTGACCTAGCTTGGAACAAGCCGTGTTGGCAGGGTGAAATCTCTCGCTTAACATGGGAAAACATTATATCTTGTAAAATAAATTCGAAAAGCTTGCAAACATTGCTTATAATTACCACAGGCCTATAATTTCTATTTCTAATCACAGATCGGTCTCTTTTTTTAAAAATTGGAGCAATCCTAGATGTTTTCCATACCATAGGGAACGTAGAAGTTTTAAGAGACATATTGAAAATATGAAGCAAAGGTTCAGCTATAATGACAGCGCAGTCTTTAACAAAAATGCAGGTATTCCATCTGGAGTGGCAGATAATTTAGACTTAATTTTTTTCATAGCCTTAGTAACCTGTTTGTGCGTAATTACTGGCAAATTCGATGGTAAAGAAGTATTGTTAGCTGAGATTGCAGGTTGAAAGCTTGTTGAGGTAATGTGAGTTGATTGAAAAAAATGTGCGAAAGCAAACAAGGCATATCAAGTTGGCTGTCATTGAACATCATAGCGTTAGGAATACTTGTAGCATTTTTCCGAGACTCTATAAATGACCAAAACTGTTGAGCATTAGCGGTTCTGTTCCTTTCCATATTAGCAGTACATGCTTGGTATGCCATATCAATGCTTATTTTTATACTTCTTCGCAAACTTCTAAAGGTTTCACAGTGTTGTGGATACTGTGTTCTTTTACACATTTTGCATAAACGACGTTTCTTTTTTATCCTAGCAATTATAGATGAACTAAACCAGGGTGGATATGAATTGTTTCTTGGCAATGTACGAGGAACCCTTCGATTAATTGCTGAGTATATTTCGTAAAACTTACCACATCATTGATTGAATATAAAGGAGTAAAGTCAAGATATGTGCTTATATCTGCTCTCCTGTAATTATATCTTGGAATTTCATTTAAGTCAAACCTACCCAAGACATTTCCTAACATGAGTGATAGTTCAAGCGGAGGGTTATGACTATAAACTGGTAGTAAAACGGCTGAAGCAGGAATCACTTGGAGATCATTTTTACAAAAGACTAAATCAAGAATACCGCCGTTTGAGTTTAGTGTATGGTTGTATTGTTTAAGACTGATGAAGTTGATCAAATTATTGAGTGCTGCTATGTAAGTGTTGTCATTGATGTAGTTAATGTACGAAGGCACATTCAAATCACCTAAGATAATGAGATTATCAGCATTCAGAACATCTATCAGAAATATCTGCTCAAATAAAAGATCATATGTAGGAGCTGACAAATTAGGTGGTAAGTAGACAAGAATAATGTACACTGCTGATCGCAAAAGTTGTAATTTGACGCCAACTATATCAATGCAGAAAGTGCACGTGTATTCGTCTATGTTGTCCGTATCAAATCCTGATTTTTTGCTCTTCTCACCAATCTCTCTGATCTTCCACCTTTTGGGAGATTCAGACATGGTATTTCCTGCTCGCACTCCTCTATTGTTCGATAAATGATTCTGCGTGAAATGTTTTCATTCTGGAATATTCGACAGATTTCACCTTTGGGTACCCACCCAACCAACCTTTTCTTATTTCTAAAATTAATACGACAACTTAAAGCGAACACTTCAAATTAAATGTCAACAGACAGTAAAGTAAGTAAACAAGCTTTTAATTCCAAAAGCAACTTGATATTATTTTGTGTTTGTTAAAATTAAAGCCAATGAATTTTGTGCCAAAACTTTTACGACATACGTTACGTACCTGCTTATTTATTTGAAAATGGAGGTTAGGTCTACAGGCTGTGTGTTGTAACATCGACAGCTAGCGAATTGGCTACACCTCAGACATAGATGCCCGTAGAAATTTTTCTCAGAGCGACAGATTCAATATTAGCAAGAGGAAACGTTTTGCGAATATGATTATTGTATCATTTTTAAGTGGTGCCGCGGCTTCTATGAGGAGGTTAGATACACTTTCCTAATTCGATTCTTGAACTGGCTAAGATTAGTAGAACTGGAAAAACCCTCCTCAGGCAGATTGTTCCACAGTCTTGATATCCTAGAGAGAGAGGAAGCTGTCTTCCCGACAAAGCTGCAACAGACCTGTGTGTCTCTATTTCGTTAAAGAAAAGGCCGCTTCCAGTCTTTTCTCCAACTCAATCGGAGAGATCGGTTTAGTGCTTTCGATCCTAAATAACGTGCTGTGGTCCGTGAAGATATTGAAGTTATGATGCAGAAAAGGATGCACGTGGAAGAAGAAAATGCTGAGGAAAGCATCCAAGCCCGAGATGATAAATTGAGGTTCTTTGTAGTCAATCTTGTAAAGTCAAAATAAATTTTTTTAAAAACCCGAACGGCCATTTCGGCAACTTATCTTTGATATAATTTATGGTGCAGCAAAGAGGCCAAGAAACAGCAATGGGGCCAAAATCCATCCCTGGAGAATATCCGCGTTCTCATTGTAGGATGAGGGGGAGATCCAAAATATCACAACCGATGGACATTTGAAATGTGAGTAAGAGCAGTTGTTACAGCTGATGACAGCATTTGTACTGTCATTAGCAAATAACTGGATGAGCATGATATAAGCTAGGATTATACTAATTTTGATCATTCCAAATTTCGTAATTATGTACTGTTTTAGATTCGTGTACCTAAACATCGTGCTACTCCGGTGTTTTCGTTCTGACTTACTTGAGATGATAGCTGCAACTTGAACGCATCTACTAATAAACTTCCGATTCATGATAATCAAGATGACAAAGGTAAATCGAACAAAGAGCTCGCTGGGGCTTGAAAAACTGTTCAACTATGTAACTGCATAAAATTAGTGGATCGTGAATAAGCAAATTAGCATAATAAAGAGAAATAGCTATACTAAACAAAAAGCACTCTTGAAATTTACGCTGATAAATGACAAAATACATTTGAATGCCATATACCGGGCACAGTTATAAATATTTTTCCCGATACACAACAATGGTCATTCTATCAGTGAGAGTTTAATAGTATCGGATCCATAATCTAGATACCCAATCATCCAGGAACAGGATTATAATGCTCAAGGGTTTTTTAACATTCTCTCATATCTCAAAAGGTTTCATCTAATATTGATGTTCGTTCTCACAGGATATAAACGAACCAACCTAGATATCCAGAGCATTTGAAATGCTGATTTCGAATGCAATTATCAAAATAAATGCTAAAGTGATCGTTCGATTACAGCAAAATATCGACATCAGTTTCGTAAATCTGTCTACGATTTTCCCAAGAACAGTACTAATAGTAATGGTGTTAATAATACTTATTTGTCTTCAAAATATACACTACACTCGAGACAAAACAAAGGAAAGATGACCCTAAAATTATACAACAATACAACACGACATGGTTTTCCTTATTGTAATGTAATATATACTGTGTCTGAAGTCGGGTAAAATGACATACGTGGAAAAGTTGTCTTGCCCGTTTCCTTTTTTTTGTTTAGGCTAGTATCTCTAGTACAATGGTCGCAAACCTTTCAGTGTGTTGAGCTACTTTGATAATGTTGGAATACAGTGAGCTACCTAGTCGTAAGCGATGTGAGCCAACTTAAATGAAATTATACACAGTTACATGCGACATACATGTGTTTATTTTACTAATACTAATACATACTAATAAACTTAAATAAACGTATAACTAATACATACTACATAACTGCATACATTCCTACCAATTGCAGGTGTTTGAGAAATAAACAAAATTTTCGTCAGCTACAATGGCATGTCACATAGGATTTAATAAAGGTAACTAAAAATAAAAAAGCAACGCGCAATTTTTTAAACTAAAACATGACCAGATAAAAAATGAGACTAATGATGTCTTTGCTAAAATTCTGCGTAACAGAAGTTGCAAACTGTTGGATATCAACTTCCATGAAGGGTGAAACAACAAATTGCACCACTATAGCAGTTTCTTTGAAATCCTAGAAACGATTTTTGAAGTTATCCTTCTATTTCTACATGATATTTACTGTCATATGTTTCTGATGCACTTTGTGATATCTTTTCTGAAAGAACAGGAAAATGCCTGGTATCACCATCGATTAAGTTTTGTTCCCAAAACTCAAGCTTTTTGGTAAACGCTTTTATATCAGAAATAATTTCTGCTAATTCTTTCTCTCTCCCCTGAAGCTGCAAATTTCGTTCATTCAATTTTTCTGTAATATCATCAAGATAACCAAATCTCTAAGCCAGATTGTTTTCCAGTTCTGGAATCGGTTGATCACGTTGTTTGAAAAATTGAACTATGGCAGATATGATATCATTGAAACGTTTCAGCACTCGTCCCCTACTTGACCATCGGACTTCAGAGTGAAGAAGTAGTTCCCCGTGTTGACAGTCAATTTCCTCGGCCAAGGTTTTGAATAATCTTCTTTGTAACGTTCCTATTGCTTTGGAAAAGGATCCGTCGGTGAAGCTCACGAAAGAATGGAGCGGGCATGTTATAGCTCCTTCCTTCAAAGGAATGATGAGTGAGAATGCTACATTTGATCTTGCGTTGCTCTTGGCCTCTTCCACTCTTATAGAAGATATAAGTAGACCCGTCACATTTCCGATCCTGGTTCACCCACGTGGCCTCATCGTGCATCCTTGGGTATGATGGCAACGCTTCACGCTTTATGCAGGCGTTCAGTGGGAGCAGTCTCAAGAAAAGGTCAAGAATCGCTGAAGGGGATGTCCTCATCGCATCAGTTATCCTAGCGCCACCAGTCTTTGAATCTTAGCGAGCTTGCGGGTAACCGTAACCCTTTCGATACCTGACCACCAGACCTCGCATCCATACTGTATCTCAGGTCTTACCAGCGTCGTGTAAAGCCAATGTAGGACCTTTGGTTTCAGTCCTCAAGTCCTGCCGACTAACCGACGCAAGCAACGTTAGTTTCAAATAAAAAACTGTATGAGAATCAGTGGTATTTGGTCGCATAACACATACCGTATTCTACAGATATCGCCGAATTTTCTATGAAAACCTCGTATTGAATGAAACTAAGGCGCACTTTCTCTGTCCTTAAAACCAAATTGTGTTACTTTTTCTCGTCGTCGGCGTAGTTATGACAAATAAAAAGGAACAATTTGTTACACAGCGCTTAAATATGTCCTAATATTTTCTAACAGAACGTTTCTTGTTTTACATGCTCGGCACTCGGTTGACCGTTATAAACGAATAGATAATTATGGCAACCTACAAAACGTGCTATTGTGAAAAACACTCTAATTGGAGGTATTAGTGAATTGTAGGGTACACAAAGGCATTAATAGTGTGTATTGACCGAAGTGTTTATATACAATTATAGCGGAGAGAATGCCTGTATGTACTTATGATTATTAGGTTTACTTATCTGAAAGCAGTTAGATGAGAGATTGTGAAACTATACATATCCAAAAAATTCTACTGCCAGCTACACTATAATTTCGATAAATAGTATATTAAATATGTACAACGTTGGCGCGCGTTTCCTCATAGCGCCACAACATCAACCTGAGTAATAATGCAGCACTATGTGATATCTATTACCAGAATCAACCACTGCGAGAGTAAAAACTGCTCGGATGAACGAAAGCTATATTACTAGATCAACCTAAGTGTGCCACAGGAATTAAAACACGACATACCTGATTTGTGGTTTCGATGATGGCAGCACTTTGCATGCTCTGCAGATGTCGGCAGTGGCACATTGATTTGCAATTTCCAAAGGAACGATATCTCAGACCGAAATGGAGGAATCTATTCCAATCTGCTCGAAGCGATCGATCCCGATGGCTTCGATTCCGATGATTTCGAGACCGCTCCGATTCGAATATAGGCGCGTTCGCAATACGGATCCTCGCACTAGTACTCTCAATTTCAGCAACTTCAAGGTACTAATGTCGTTGTTGAATGTATCACAGTGACATAGAACAAACTGTAAAGCATATCAGGAAACATCGTCTCTAACGCAAATAGTGGTAACGGGAGTGGTCGTCCACCAATAGGCTGAATGTTAGCCTCAATACCCAGCGACAAGTCACAAAATGTTTGAAGTCTGAACCCACAAATTGCCACAAAAATGTGTACGTCCATTTCCAAAAGGAAATTGTATTATAAGGCCCAAGTTCACTAAGAAAAGTCCGTTATTCTCCACCTATAGGGTAACAGACCGTCAGATACAGCGAATGAGCTTCAAGTTCCAATCAACAAATTTTAGCAACCAATAGCTATGAAATGTTTAAAACAAAATACTGTCAAAGTATGAGATAGCAACTTGTCATTGAAACATTGCCAGCTTATTGAATATTAAGAAATTACATATAATTCAGTCAAAATTTTGAGAAATGTTTGATTTTTGAATTAAATTCATGTTTTAATTACTATTGTTGATTTTTTATTCATATTTATATTATTTTTTTCAATTGATATGTGATAATGGGTGTTTTTTCCTATAAACCTCTTGCAGATAGCCATTAAGCACCTACTTGATGACAGGGTCTACAAACAGATATTACTCGTTTCCAAACATACATTCATTCATTTACTTGCCGTTCATCAGAACCATTATGGCACCTTAGATTGATATTCCCGCAAAACCATTCAGGTTTTTTGATATCCATACATCCATAAAGTTGAATATTTTTCGTTGTTCAGTAACTGAACAAACATCCAGACTATATTCACAGCGATTAAGAAATTCCCAAATATATGCCTTAAAGTTACCAGCAAACCATATTTTTCTTTTTTCCTGAGTACAGATTCTAGGTTATATTTATATGAGACATTATTTGAATACAACTGATTATTGCATTTCAAAGAGTGACACATGTGTGGGATCTGTCAACTCTTGGTACCAGTAACAAAACATATATACTCTGAAGGTTTAATTCCATGCTATTCAATCACAATACGGTGACTTGTGTGGTTGTCAGCGGCCATTTTGTGAGGGTGTGACAGGGTTGCAAGATTGTGCATTAATATCCCGTTTCATCCTCCTGGTCCTAGTGGAGTAAGTTCCGGCAACTGTTGAAATATACTCTACTAAGCTTTATAAGACTATTCGTGACATTTTTCCCAAAATCATTGCACAACACTTGAAAAAATGCAAATGAAAATTTAAAATTATGACGCCGCAAAATAACATCATCGGTACCTTGGGTTATACATCTTGACAGTTGGGATGTTCCATAGGATCCTATATTTAGAAGTATCAATACATTTCACGAGTATCGTCATCTTTCGATCCGGACTGTGTCAGAAAGAGGGACTGCCATTTGGCTGCGACATTACCCTGCCAAATCAGACATATCTTTCATCACTTTCAAAGAAATTGAACAAAATCTTCAAATTTGTGAAGTTAGCAAGTTTCACTTCATATGTTCTTACCAGACATGCCCAAATCATCAGTTGCTGCCGTGATATTCATCCCGACCACTGCATCCCCACGGCTAGGCGACCTGTATGTTAAATTTGTATTGATAGGTCAGCGGGTTATGCTATAAATCATATGTCACAGTGGTTGTGCACTGATTGCAAGGGTTAGATTATACCAAAAATATTTTCATAAATAGGAGATCTTTCCCATTCCGGATCGAACAATCTACCAAAGATGCTTATAATCATGATACCTAGTAAATTTTCACGAAACAAAATCAAAACCAGCAAATGTAAAAGATTCATTTCGCACCCTCCACCACGGGACGTGATTGTCGTTAGACTTGGCAACCCTGCGAGTGTCAGATAGATATCCTCGCCAGTCAAAAAAGAAAAATAGACAAACAATAAACATTACTAGTTTTTTTGATTTTTGGACTTAGAAGCCATTATCTGTGAAACATTTTTCATATTTTTTACCTATGTCCATAGTAATTGCATTATGCACCAGAGAGATGTAGGGATTGACACGTCTTACACATGTTATCTATGTTTTAGGATGAAGAGGACATAATGTTTGTGTTGCTTTGAAGAAATTCATTATCCCATAAATTAATAAATGATTACTATTATGACGTAAAGGAAGTTGAGGAATTGGATGGAATGTATTTTATATTCTATTTTCTTGTCTGTACAAATCCACACTATTCAACAGATATGTAATGATAACTTTCAGTATATTGAAGTTGGTAAATTCAAGAGTGCCATGCATTAACAAACGTCCAAATCTGCTGCCAAATTTAACAGCTAGAGAATCGACCTATTATTTGCCGCATTCCCATTCGCTGAGGGGGATAACGGATTGTTAAATGTAAACCTATAACATATATCAAAATACATGAAAGTTGTCCTGTTTTTTCTGTACAAAAGCATCATGTTGGAATCAAAAAGTGGTCTTGTTTATAACACAGTCGAATTTTCACGATTTTATTCAATATTTCAATAGAAATCACTAGTATTCAGAGACCTTTGACAGCTTCTGTCAAATTGCATTACGATAAGGTATTTTCCCATTGGTCCATAATATTAATGTTGGTGAAATTGGCCCTAAATGTGTCAAAACGCTCTAATCAGCAGATCTCTTGCCGAGAGGAATCTTCCATCCAGTTTCATGCTACAATCTCCGTGACTGTCCAACCGCAAAATATACCAAGACCAGACAGGCACTATAGTCGAAATTAAAAGACGAATACGAATTTAGAAAAGCGAGAGTTCATTAAAAGTCAAGCTGGTAAGTTTTGGTATCGAAACCACCGATTTCTCCGGTTCGGGAATCGACACCATCGAAATCAATAAATACAAATAGGAGCGCTCATTAAGACTGTCGGCGCCTTCACAGAGATACTCACAATCCGCTAGATGGCAGCTCAGTTATTTAATGGTGTACTAAACCATAGCGCCTCCTGAAGCCACACTTCTCCAACATATCGGTATCCTTACTGACCATTAACCATTATTCGCATGTCATGGGCATCCAAGACGTGACAATAAGCGTAATGTAGAAAAATTATCAAAAGAATGTCTGGTTCTTTTTTAAATAATGGGCTCATGACATGGACATACTTTAACTTAACGTGGACACGGAATATGAACTCGGTCGCATTGATATGTCTCAGAAAACCATAAAAGTGAAATTTGAAGAATTAGAGCGAACAACATTCTCAAATTTTTGAATAAAGTGTAAAAAACCAACAATAGCATCATTGAGGCATATATACCAGTACCGGCCAGTACAAAAATCCAATCAGCGACCTC